GGAAACAGGCTGGGGCCTGTAGGCCCTGTCAGAAGGAAGCTTCCAGGCAAGAGCCTGGAAGTTTCCCTGTAGGGAAACAGGCTGGGGCCTGTAGGCTTTGTCAGAAGGAAGCTTCCAGGCAAGAGCCTGGAAGTTTCCCTATAGGGAAACAGGCTGGGGCCTGTAGGCCCTATCAGAAGGAAGCTTCCAGGCAAGAGCCTGGAAGTTTCCCTGTAGGGAAACAGGCTGGGGCCTGTAGGCCCTGTCAAAAGGAAGCTTCCAGGCAAGAGCCTGGAAGTTTCCCTGTAGGGAAACAGGCTGGAGGTCCGGGACGGGCCCTGCAGGGCCCGTGTGGCTGCACAGTATGCCACAGAGGAGGACCAAGGAAGGTTGCGATTGGGAGGCGGAGCATCACGACTGGCAGGGGGAATGCCAAAGAGGAGTGGAGTGGGAAAGAGGAGTGCCAGGTCAGGGGAGGGAGTGTCATGGAGGAAGTCACACAAGATCCGTTCACACATAGGGAATGGCAGGAGGAGTGTCAACGAGACAGTGTGAGTATGCACAGGAACGGGGGTCCTTCCCATCGGGGGAAGGGGGTCCGGCGTTCCGGAACCCTTCCCATCGGGGGAAGGGGGTCCGGCGTTCCGGAACGCTGGACCCCCGACATGGGAAGGGGGTTCCTCAAGGAGGGTCAAAAGATGCATTGCAGGAGTTGGGAGTGAGGAAGGGGAGGGGGAGGGTAAGACCAGTCATTTCACGCTTTGGAATTACTGGGACAGTAGAACGGGACCGTCGAGCAGGGTTGCAAGACGTGTTTCAGGTATGGCGATTTGGAGGGGAGTGTAGGGACAGGGAGAGGGGGAGTGTCAAGGACTGAGAGCAGGAGGAAGGGGATAGGCAGGGGGAGTTCCGGGCCAGGTAACAACCAGGACGTGTTTCGCACATTGCATTTGGGACGGGAGTGTGGGGACAGCAGGGAAGGGAGGGTGCCAAGGAGGGCTATGATAGGGAGAGAGATTGTCGGGACAGGGAGGGGGGTGTCGAGGAGGGTTGCAAGGAGCAAGATTGGGAGGGAATCACAAGACCCTTCTTTTCATTTGGAAGCAGAGCTGTAACATGTCAGGTAATAATATATAAGAAGAAACACTGTCATAGACTGGCTGGTAGTCACCCAGAAATGCTGTCAGTTGTCAAACCCTTTCTCCACCCTCCGTGCCACCTCACCACAGGCCGTATATTCATTCAGTCCAGTCCAGTCCTGCCCGGTACCCCTGTCGGTACCAGGCCAGTGCAGTCCAGTCCAGTCAGTCCGCTGGGGTATACCCCAGCTGCAGTCTGTTTCCATTCTCATCCTTCATTCGTCACAGTTTGGAGTACGTGCGTGTTGAGTCTGCGTTGGAGCTGCGCTGTCCCTTCCAGCTCCATCTCCATCTCCCCCATCCTCATCCCTTCGTCTTGATCCAGGCGGACCACCATCCTGGTGGGTCCGTCACACTGGTATAAGAGCGGGAGCGGGGTGTAATCCCGATAGCGGGATTTCGGACCATTTTCGGCCATTTTCGGAGCAAACAGACGGAAAACAGCGGAAAAATGTGCAGTGCCCAGAAAGTGACACGTGGTGAAAAGGAGAGCGCCATCATGAAGCGTGCGTCAAGGCCAAGGCTGCCTCATTGGTGCGCAGTAAGGCACCTGCAGCCCTAGGTGTACTGGTGGTTTGAGAAGACGGGTTTAGGGAGGCAAAACAAAAAGAGGACTAACGTAGCGAAGGAAACAGTTGATCTAACCTCAGTGTTCAGGGCTTAGTGATTAAGATAGCAGACAAAAGGGCATGGAATATTTAAATTTTAAAGACTCGGGGAAATGGTAAAAGCAGTTGTAGGGTCTAGGTTCTAAGGAAACTCGATTTCCGAGTATGGGATTCATAGGTTTTTGGGATGTATCTGTTTAAGTTGCTCCCCTCCTCATTTTGTCTTTTTTAGTCCCAGTTTTTCTTTGGAAGCCGAAGGCAATGGGATGCTGGACCTGGTTTCCAGCTCAAGCCTAAGCTGGGTAATGGCCCCAGCACTGTCCGGGTTGAGACGTTGAGGAATTCCTGGCCTCATTGATTTTATATAATAAAACTGCAGCTCCTTGAAAAAAAAAAAAAAAATCCAGCGGCCTAGCTCAGTTGGTTAGGCACGCAAGTGGCATTCAGGAGGTTGTGGGTTCAAGCCCCATGGCCGCCTGCCGCGCACTTAGTGCCAACGGACTGTGATAGTCCTCTGGATACCCCTGATTGGTATTAGCGGGCTCTATGACCAACACGGGTGTGAGTGCGAGTGCGGGTGCGAGTGGGTTGTGTGTGGTGTGTGGGAGAGTGTTGGCCATAGCCTCTGCTGCTACTCGATGAGGGGTGGGGGACGATGAGAAAGGGAGGCACAGCTACTGGCAAAATGCTCCGTCTTTGTGTTAGCCGGAACCCCACCGGCGGCCCCACCCCCCGAGGGGCGACATGAATTACCTCGTTTGCGAGGCCCTATGCTTGCAGGGGTCCCCTCTATATAGTCTTAGGTAGGTAGGTAGTGTGAGGTGAATTTGAGAGAAGAATATAGCTTAAAAAAAGAAAAAAGAAAAAAAAAAGGGATAGGCAGTATTATCAAAGCAACTGTATTAAAAAAAAAATAATAAAAAAAATGGATCGGGTACTCACCTTTTTTTTTTTTTTTTTTTCAAACAACCCAAGTGGCTGCTAGGGGTGCTGATAAGAGCAGACACCCCTAGCACCATCGGGGAGGCGCCATCTATTGGTGGGGACCTGCTGGAAACCGGGTCCAGCGTCCCATTGATACATATTTGCTCACCTGAGGTTGACGTCGTAACTATATTCTGTTGTTGTCTTCATGGTCTTCACGAGTTAAGAGTGCCACGTGGCACTTCAGTGTGATCAGAAATTATCAGACTTGTTACTATTATTGATTGATGACGTGGAGGGAGAAGAAGCCCGAAGAGGGAGTGGGATTGGTTGGGCTATTATCGTGTGGTCTCCCTTGTCTATCCTCCCTCCACTCTCTTCGTCTATTGGTAACAAGATACTGCTTCAAATATCACTTCACGATAACTGGAGACTTTGCGCAGAACTAGGACTACTGTGGTCTGATGTCTGTTGAGTATCTGCCAGACTGGGTTCATTACATCACGGTGTCTAGACTGAAAGTTGTAACAAATACAACTACAATGACTGGGCGCTCTGTTCAGGTGAGGAGAAGCTGTTGATCTTCCACAGATCCCAATTTTCCTCCTTGTCGCAAACAATCACCTCATGTAGACAGCGTGGCCTATGCCACGTCAGATATAGAGACAGGTGGCATGCGCCACATCACCAATGAAGACAGGTGGCAGCGCCACATCAGAAATGTATATGAGTGGCAAGCGCCACATCAGCAATGCAGACAAGTGGCATGCACCACATCAGCAATGTAGACCTGTGGCATGTGCCACATCAGCAATGCAGACCAGTGGCATGCGCCACATCAGCAGGTAGACAGGTGGCAGTGCCACGTCAGCAGTGTCTGGCGCACAGAAAAGACAGCGCCAGCATGCTGCCACAGTTCCGCTTCGTCGTCCACAGTGCCTGCGCACAGCCAGTGTCGAGCCAGCGTCTCGCCAGCGTCATGCCAGCGTCAATGCCAGCGTCCAGCCAGAGTCGAGCCAGCGTCCAAGCAGCATGGCAAGACTGAATGTTGACCACCTCGAGACCAGTCCATTTGTAGTGTTTGACGAGGCTGTCTGGCTTCGGGTCCCCACCTCACAGTCATTCAGATTGAATCACAGCCGACGGCCTGGATTGTGTACAGTTGCAGACTTCCCCTTGGACCTGATGCTGTCTGGGTACCTGCATACAAAACAATGTGTGCGTCTGACCGGCGGCCTGGGCTGGGTACACTTTGACTTTGACTGTTGGGGTCTCCGACAGTTGAGTTTTGTCAACTGTACCTCGCTCAGGCCCTGAATCTTTAACTGGGGTCTTTTCCCCGTTTTGGCCTGGGCCTGGGTGTGGCCTGGCGAGGCCCTCAGTTTCCACGAGGCATACAACATGGGTTATTGCAGTGATAATGGCTGGGCGCTCTCGTTGGGTGAAGACGATAGTAAACACAGTAACTTGCAAGCAACTGTTATGATTACTAGGCCCCCTACTTGAGTAACTACAGTTAACTGAGTTAACTAGGCCCCCTACTTGAGTAACTACCGTTAACTGAGTTAAGTGATCTTTCTGGTTAACTTACTGGTACTCATACTAGTAGCCATACAGGCCCATACTAAGCTCTTAGCAACTCTTATCCTTTTTTGAACGACTTTGACGCTTTCAGAAGGGTTGTTTCAGTTATTTGTTGGCATACTTACCCCCATAAGCTCTTTATAATCCTGGTCATAACAATTCGCTGGTTGAACTAGTGGTGATTTGCAGGTACTCTGGAAATGGATCCCATTGCGACATGGATAACCCCGAGGACCGTGAGAATTGGAATCCCTCAGGTTCAAGAAAGATCAACAAGAAGCAAGGTGGTGCATCTGTGCTTTCTGTTCTGGGACAAGTACAGAAAGCTACTGCCGCTGCGAACTCAGCCGTTGCTGCTGTTCCTAGTGATACAGAGGACACACACAGACAGTCCAATAAACGGGGTGGAGGAGACGGTGCGTAAATGTCCTGACAAATTGACAAGTTGTTAAAAAGAACAAAAACATAGCGGACAGTCATCCCTACAATTGTCAGTCATGATTCAATGCTCATGTCCAAACACCCGACTTGACCTCATTGCGCGACTCACAGATTCATGCTTACAACACCAAGTTGAGGGGAACATTTGAAAATCAGATGAGTAGTAGTAGTAGTAGTAGTAGTAGTAGTAGTAGTAGTAGTAGGAAGAGGAGGAAGAGAGAGGGGGAAGGAGGAAGAGGAAGAGGAGAACGAGGACGAGGACGAATTAGAAGAGGAGAACAAGAAGAGGAACAGCAGAAGAAGAGGAGAAGAAGCAGTAGTAGTAGTCGCAGCAGTAGCAGCGGCAGGAGTAGCAACAGCAGGAGCAGCAGGAGCAGCAGCAGGAGTAGCAGCAGCAGGAGTAGCAGTAGAAGTAGCAGTAGCAGCAATAGCAGCAGTGGCAGCAGTAGTAGTAGCAGCAGTAGTAGCAGTAGCAGGAGTAGCAGCAGTGGAAGCAGTTGTAGCAGTTGTAGCAGTGGTAGCAGCAGCAGCAGCAGCAGTAGTAGTACGAGTAGGAGTACCAGTGGTAGTACCGGCAGTACCAAGAGTAGCAGGAGGAGGAGTAGCAGCAGCAGCAGTAGCAGCAGCAGTAGCTGTAGCAGTGGTAGCAGTAGCAGTAGCAGCAGCAGTATGTGCCATGTGGTATGCATGCATTCTCACACGGGCCTCCTCGGGGGCACGATCTTAGGATAGAGGAAGTTGGTTCTGATTTAGGGGCTCGTTTTTATTTTTAATTTTTTGAAAGCTATTTGAAAGATGTCTTCTCCTCTATGGGGGACAGCTGTATTCACTACGCTGTTCTCTTCTCTCAGTATTTTTTTCACCGCACACAACCCAACCAGCCAGGAACCGAGCTCAACCTTTGGCAGACAACTATAGGGTTTTAGCCTTTTAGGGTCGAAGGCTGCACCACGGGCAAATATGCTAAGCCCTAAGATCTACTCACTAAGACTAAGCTACACTAAGAGTTATGGGTTGATCCTATACTCTCTACTCTGGGCGGGGAGTAGTACCCAGGCTCTATCTAAACCCCAGCAAGGCATGGAAGAAACACAGCCACCTTCAAGACAAACCAGGTTGGGCAAGCTGTCTATTTCAGCTGATGAACCCAAAGCCCACCGCAGGAGGACGTGGGGAGCCAATTGAAGGGCGTGGGGAATTGAACCCACGGCCTCAAAAATAGCACTTACGTGCTCTACCAACTGAGTTAGGCTGCTGGCCCTTGTTTAGAGGCTCTTCTTCATTTTTGAGGCCGTCTGCGTTCTCCGAGTCCTTTTTCCGTCTGCCTCAGGGTCGAGCGTCTGTTCGAAGTTCAGTTGTCAGTTGGTCTGAGTCCAGGCCTTGTCCGGTCTGGACGCGTTGTTTCAGTCTTAGGTCCAGATTGGTAGGACCTGCACGTATCCGTTCCGTATCATGGGCCGATTCAGGCCCAGCGGCCACATTTCAGTCGAGGCTGCAATAGTAAGATTAGCAGCCGCCGTAGGCTCACATTCAGACCACATTTTGGCCTAGAGGCTGGACCTGTTTTTGGTCCAGCATCCAGGACCGCCCTGCATTCAGGCGCCTCAGGGACTGGTAGACCCAGTGCTATATATAGCTGGGTCCATCCTCAGTTCCCTAGGCAGTATGCAGAGGTTGAGGTCCGCGCGCTGGTTCATAGCGCTGTTCTAGGTAGAGGAGCTAGACTAGTAGGAGCGCCTTGGGAGACCGGAGAGTGGGGGGTCAAGGTGCAAGAATCCCCTCCCTTACGAGCCTTCCAATTCTCCCATATGCAACCGGGATCGACCACTACAGCTTTTTTCTCCTCCTTCCCGATTTCCCCATCCACGCACGGCATGCCATCCATTCTAAATAAAGAGGTGGAATTAGTAGCCATGGACTCCTTTCTCCTTAGGAAAATAAGAGTACTCGGATCGTGGCCCAAATCAACTTTCAGGCCAGACACCCCAGTCCAGAATTTGGAATTTGACCCGGCAGAGAGGGCCTGGAAACCGGACAGGGAGAGGAATATCAAGTCTACTGTCCCCATATACGAATACACAGTCAAACTCGGTTACAAACTTCTAATCACAACTAAGGACCCAGATCCCATAATCAAAAGCAGATGGCAGAAACTAATAGGCCAGGAAGCCGATAAAATTACACAGATCCCTTGGAAGAAATGTAAAACAATCAGACCTACAAAAATCAGAAGCCTGCAGTGGCTTATCACATATGCAGCACTGCCAGTGAATCAATGGCTGCATATAAGACGGCATAAAACTGACCCCACTAGCTCAGGCCTATGCACAGTCTGTGCAGGAGGGGTTCAAGAGGACATAGTTCACTGCCTAATCCAATGTAGCGAGGCGACGGACTACTGGGCCTCAGCCCTCTGGGATTCCCTTTTCCATCCCCCCTTCCCCGAACACCCTATCCAAATCCTCCTCTGGACTAACATCCCGGATCAGCTTCAAAAGACGGAAAGATTGTGGTTTGGCCTGATCAGGAAAGTAACGTTATGGATCATCTGGAAGGAGAGGTGCTGCAGAACTATCGAAGGACTCTCCAACCCAAGAGATAAGGTATGGGCGGAGAGAAGATCTATGCTACAGGCTGAAATTCTCTGCAGATGGCAGAGGTTAAAACAGTCGATGCCTGAGGATGAGGAGCAGCAAGAAAAGGTCAGGAAGAAGTTCCCAGGCAATGGCTGGCGAATGGTAAGGTGGCTGAGTTACGGAATGGCAGAGTGTGCTGTAAAGACTGGCACAAATCGGAAACAGATCGGAGAGCCCAGTTCGTGCCAGCGGCGGATGGGTAGGGTAACTGAAGTGATGAAGGGGCACATCAGGTATCGGGTGCCAGGTGAGTGAGTCACTGAGGAAGCCAAAGGAACTAGAGGGTGAGATTGGGAGGACGGGACTTCGATCAGTTCCCAGCACGGCAAAGACTGTTCCACACCGGACACACAATCGAAGGGTTTAAGATGCTGAGATAGGGCGGAACAGATGGCTCCCTGGGATCTCAGTCATCAGGGTTTTACCAGTGGAGGTACAATAGGAAGGGGTGCTGTTAGGAGGAATAGGGGAGGGTTTAAGGTTTAAGGATTGCAGTCTTCGGGTAACGGCTCAGGGGCTTATGGTTGAAGGGTTTGGCCAGTCGGAACGGCTCAATACAATAGTCTTAGGCAGATGGTAACTGGTCAAGATGGCTGAGGTTAGGGACGGACTGAATCAACGGATACAGGGTGGAGGCTGATTGGTAGACATTAAGGGGTTTTAGGAAAAAGGGAAATGTTGCATCTACCTAGTCAGAAAATAGGGGGGATCAGGGCATGTTGAGGGGTGGGGTTTGTGGAAGTGGCTAGATCCTTTCTTGGTATTCGGGCCCTATACGGCAGGTTAGTGCGGCAGACCTGAGAGGAAAGGGTATAGTATGGCAAGCTGACAGTCAATCCTCCATATGGATGGAGCAATCAATGCTGGTCAGGGGTCCTTCGGCCGTACGAAAGGAAGCGTGTATCTGTAATTATGATGTATTATCCTTTCGACTTGCCAGTGGAGTAGGAACCAGACTGATGCTCCCCAGAATGGAAAAGGAGCCTGGGCCATAAGGTCCAGTTTTGTATTAAAAAAAGAAAAAACGAAAAAAGAGTAGTAGGAGCGCCAGGTAAGTCTGCAGGTTAGGAGGCGGAGGCCAGATAGGAGGGCTCACCTGCAGACTTACCTGCGCCATCGCTCCTGTGCGTCTTCAGCATCGTCCACCTGCAGACACAGCTCCAAGGTGGCACCTTTACGCTGGTCAGCATCTGGTTCCATCACGGGCGATACATCAAAGGTTTATTCTTCTTCTTCTGCCCCTCTTCCTCCACACTTCCTCTTCTTCTCCCTCCCTCTGCTGCTGCTTAGAGTCGAGACTGTGGTGATATTGGGTGATTGAGCCAGATTTGGACATTGTATCTGGACGGAGAGATTGGGGTTATTTTTGGGAGATGATATTAGGGAGAAGAGGAGGTAGAAGAGGATGAAGAAGAGGAGGGAGAAGAGGAGCAATAAGAGGAAGCAGCGGAGGAAGAAGAGAAGAGAGAAGAGGAGCAATAAAACGAAGGAGACGAGCGATAAGAGGAAGGAGACAAAGAGGAGGAGGAACAAGAGGACGGACACGGGGAAGAAGAAGAAGAAGAAGAAGAAGAAGAAGAAGAAGAAGAAGAAGAAGAAGAAGAAGAAGAAGAACAAGAACAAGAACAAGAAGAAGAAGAGGAGGAGGAGGAGGAGGACGAGGAAGAAGAACAGGCGGAAAAAGAGGAGGAAGAGCAGGAGGAAGAAGAGGAGGGGAAAGAAGATGAGGGGGAAGAAGTGGAGAGGAACACGAGGAGGAGGAAGGAATGGAGAAAGAAGAGGTCGAGCAAGAAGACAAGGAATAGACGGGGAGGAAGAAGACGTGGAAGAGGGGGAGGAAGAAGGGGAGAAAGAAGAGGAGGACAAAGAAGAGGAAGAAGACAAAGAAGAGGAAGAAGACAAAGAAGAGGAAGAAGAAGACGGACAAGACTTGTCGGACTCTTGCTCTCCCAGTGAAACCCTCCTCTGTGGGGGCCTACGAAAAGCCCTTCTATGGAACATATGGAAAAAGCGGTGCCAGGAAACCCTGGGCAACAAACTATTGCACACAAGAGAGGTCTGGTCCCTCGTCCAAACTCAGATAGAAACAGAATACCGCATACAATGGAAAAGAACCAAGCAAAAAATGGAAAGGGAACGGAGGTTGGAAGTACCCAAGGCGCAAGTCTCTAGTCTACCGTGGTCAGTATTGAATACTATAAGGTTAGGCAGGGTCAAAAGTTGACAATGGCTGATTTTCCACATGGCGCTCCTGGTCAACGTTTGGCTGTATGAGCGCCGCAGCCACAATCAGAGGGATCGCATCAACCAGAAGTGCAAACTGTGTACGGATGAGGAGA